TCTGATACGGTACTACTGCAAGAAGAGCTGCCCTCTACTGTCTCCCTTGCTTCTGCCCTTCCCAAAACAACTACATCTTAAAATTAGAAGACAATCTGAATAAGGAATTATACACAGCTGGGTTCTAAGCCCAGCACGGTGGCACATGCCTGGAATCCTAGCACTCAGGAGGCTGAGGCAGGAGGATATGAGTTCAAGGCCAGGATGGCCAGTGCCCGTCTCAAAAGGAGTGGGGTTGGGGATAGAGACAGGGGTCTAAACCTGACTTTCACTTTATAACAACATTCAACCTTTCAAAACATGTCTTCTCAAGTGTAAAAACACCTAGTCTAGCACTTTGTATGTATTCAATACATGCTAACTTAGTATCAACATACTTCTGGGATGGACTCTCCTGAACCAATGAATGAAGGACAGCAGACTTGGGAAACCCGGATGTCTACAAACCCAGGACCATCTTTCCAAATACAGGCCTTACAAGCCTCTCACTCTGTCCCCCACTTCTATTCCTTATTCTGTTCATCCATTAGACAGATATATACTGACTGCCAACTGTCAGGGACTCTGAAAGAACTATAAAAAAGGATGGCTGCTTCGTATGCAAAAAGTTTGGAGTACGTGGATATATAAAACTTCTCTGGGAAGAAAAAAAAAAAACTTCGCTGAGAAGTTCTGGAGGGATTCTTAAAGGAATTAACATTTTAAACAATTTAGAATGGAAGTCTAAAAAACTGAACAAGAAACACACAGAAATTATGTAAGGAAAAACATAAAGCACTCCTGAAAAATTCCCAAAGTAGCTTTGAGCAAATGAAAAGATAGACCATGATCATGGACAGAATTCAACATCATAAAGATGTCAATTCTCCCTAAGCAAAATTATAAATTTAGTACAATTTCAACAAAAATACCATCAAGTTGTCTGCTAAAATTAGACAAATTGATTTTTTAAAATTAATACAGCTGAATAAATGAGATAACCAGGGAACTAAAAGAGAACAATAAAAAAACTGGTTATTACAGATATTAAAACAAATTATAAGGACTCCAAACTTAAGGCAACTTTGTAATGGCATATGAACTGACAATCAAACTAATGGAGTGAAACAGGAAATCTGGTAAGAGACCCAAGTGCATACCCAAGTTTAAATATTCAGTAAGACAGCATCTCAAGTCAGAGGAGAAAAGAGTTTTTAATAAGTTTTTAGACAACTGACTGGTCATTAGGAAAAAGGTAAAAGTAGATCCTTCCTCAAACCAAATGCTAAGATAAATTTCAAATGGACCAGCGTCTTAAAGGTTAAAAACAAAAACCAACAAAAATCTCAAGTGAAATAATGCATGTACTGTACCAGAACAAAACATAAATTGAGCCTGTCTCCTTCCTCCCCTCTATTCCGTTTCTCTCTCAAAAAGTAAAAATGCATGTACTGTACCAGAACAAAACATAAATTGAGCCTGTCTCCTTCCTCCCCTCTATTCCGTTTCTCTCTCCTTCCCAGACACCATGAGGTATACAGCTATTTCAGTACATCCCATTAAAATAAAAAAAGAAAACAAGGTGAAAATAGGGCAAACTTCCTACTAATGACTCAAAATCCAAAGCAATTCACAGTAAGGCTGATAAACTTGACTCTATGAAGATATGTCTTCTGTAGGACAATAAAGCAATGTATGCAAAGTCAAGCGTAGGACAAACTAAAAATATTTTTGCAACTTATACTACAGACATGGTAAGATATCCCTTCTCTTATAAAAAGAGAAAAGAATTTTAAATTATACTGAAATATATCTTATCTGACAGATTAGCAAGACTACAACAGTTTGCATGCTTAGTAAAACTCAGAAGAAACAGACAAGAAGTATCAAGCATAAAATAAAAACTGTGAAAGTACCTTTTTTATTTTGGAATCGCACAAATAGTTCATGATTAAAAATCAAAATTAGATTTTACTAGCAATGTTAAAGTTTAAAACATATAAACCTGTTTATCAAATAGTGGCATAATTACAGGGTGAATTCAGAACAGTATTTGATCATACATCTCATGTAGCGTGCACACATACATAAACTTTTTTTTTTTTTTTAGACAGTAGCTTACTATTTCATCCAGAATGGTCTCAAATTCTTAGGTTCAAGCAATCCTTCTTCCCCAGCCCCCTGAGTAGCTGGGGCTACTTCTGTGCACTATATCTGGCATTCATGTAACATGTATACTAAGGCAAGAGGTACATCTAGTTAATTACAACACTCAGTAATAAATGGTCAGTGCAGAGAGCAGCATTACAGTGTCCTGGCTGATCACCTGGCCAGCAAGATACAAGAGAGAGCAGCCCTAAAACTTCTGTATGTTGCCCACAGGTCTCAGAAAGGATGAAGTTCTGTAGGCCACCAAACATTTTCAACTAGTGCTCAAGTAGAAGGGAGACAGGAAGGGGTGAGGGAGCTAAGAGTCGAGGCTTGTGATATGGGCACAGGAGGGGTGGAGGGCAGCACATGCCACGAAAAGGAACTGCAGGACCAGAGGGCTGGCGAGCTGTCCAGGAGTTTGAAGCAAGGGAATGAAATGGTATGTTCAGTTTTGAGCTTCATCACACAGGCAACGGTGTACTGCAAAGAAAGCTGAAAGCTGAAAGCCACTAACCAGCCGTAAGGCTGTTTTAGTAATTAATCCAGGGCAAGAGCTTAGAGTAGCTTTAATCGGAGGAGGAGAAAAGGGAGAAATCAACGTACTTGCAGCCTAAGTAAATCTGTGCCATTTTTGGGTGGAAGAGGGAAAGGGATGTTATGAAAGAACATGGGACTCTCACAGGTCTGCCTTTATCACCTCTGTGATGCCATCCATGGAGAGAGGAACAGAGAAGTACCAAAGGGCAGAAGCAAAGCAAGTACACTGCTGCCAAAACCCCAACTTCTGGAGATAGTGGGGACAGGAGCCAAAAGAGTCAAGAAATATCACCCCAAGGGCCAGGCCAGTCCTAGAGAGCTGAGGAACAGACAAAACTAGTGGGTTAGACTACTTCCTGCATTATCTTCTCACAAACAGGATCATACAGTCAATTCTGCGCACTTTTATTTATGTGTGGGGGTCGAACCCAGGGCCTTTGCATTGAGCTATATCCCCAGCCCTTTTTATCTGAGATGGGGTCTTGCAAAGTTGTTTTTATATTTCAAAAAATAGAAAACAAAATAAAAAGTACTACTCAAGAAACTGGGGGGGGGCACCAGCATTTGGAGCCTTTGTTTCTAATTTCTTTCCTGGAAAGCACTCTCTATTTTGGGGCCTGTCCTAAAATGATTCTGGCACTCTGGTGTATAGATTACCCATACAAGGGCTTCCAGGTGGAGCATAACTAATGTTTCAATATAAGCCACTAATTGCTACCCAAAAACTGCAGTGCATCCTTGGTTGCTAGCTATTGGGCTTCTGAAGAGACTGGGTTGAGAGGGCTCTAACTTCATCAGGGACTAATGCTAAAATCATAATCTGATGGCATTATTGGGAGGCTATAGAAATTTAGGAGATGGTCACTAGTCAAAGGGAGTGGGTATGGGGGCATGGCTTTAGGTTTTCTCTACCCCTGATCCCCTTTTTAAAGTACTGAGGATTGAACATTCACATTAAACTACATCTCCAGTCCTATTTTTAAAACAAGGTCTTGCTGGGCATGGTAGTGCACATCTGTAATCCTAGCACCTGGGAGGCTGAGACAGGAGGACTGCCATGAGTTCAAGGCCAGCTTGAACTGCATCGCAAGACCCTCTCTCTCTCTTTCTCTCTCTGTCTCCCCCCACACACACACACAAGACAAGGTCTTGCGGTCTTGCTAAGCAGCTAAATTGCCCAAATTGAACTCAAACTTGCAATCCTCCAGCCTCAGCCTCCTCGAGTGCTGGGATCACAGGCATGCACTGTCAAGCTCCCTCCAAAAAATTCTTTTTTGGTAGTACGGGGATAGAAACCAGAGGTGCTCTACAATGGGGCCTTTTTTATTTCGAGACAAGACTTGCCCCGCTGGCCTCGAGCTTCAAATGCTCCTGCCTTGCCCTCCGGGAAGCTGAGATGACAGCATGCACTAACTATGCCTGGCACTCTCCCTCCTCTCTCCCTGCTGCCACGATGTGAGCAGCCCGGCTCCCCATACCCTTCTCCACCATGACGCACTCCGCCTCACCACAGGTCCAGAAACATGGAGCCAAGGACCACAGGCACAAACCATGAGCCAAGGTAAATTTTTCCTCCTTTACATTGATTCTTCCCAGGTAATTTGTCACAACCATGAAAAACTGACCAGCACAGGTACTAATAAAAGCAGAAATCAGCCAGGGGCATGCATGAGGCCAAGTTCAATCCCAAAGCTTCTAAATAAAACAAAACCCCAAGTCAAAACAATAAGATTTACATATGTGAATTTACTTTTTCAAAGGGTCTATGTGTTAGCTGAGCGTGGTGGCACACATGCCTGTAATCCCAGCACTCAAAGGTAATGATGTCTCACTGTTGGCTCTGTACCTTTGGAGGGGTCCAGGGTCCTTCTGACACCTGACAAATGAGGGTCTCTCTTCCCTTGCAGAGAACACAAACTTGAAGGTATCTTCACGGGAGTCGTAAGTCACTTGCAATTCTATGGATCACGAGACTAACAGTGCCTGATTTACATGTATCAGCTGCAATGTATTTATTTTACACAGGAAATGAAATGCTTAGTGTCCATGATTTTGAGGATTTGGAGTTAAGTAACATTAGGGAAATATAAGAAAAGCTAGCTTTCTTTCCTTGCTTTTTTTCTCCCTTGAGGGCTGCCAAAGTCTCATAACTGCATGCTCTTTGCAAATGAAATACTGCACCTTCTGCGTGACTTAAAGAAAGTGACAAACTCATCTCTGAATTTAAATGCCCTTAATATGTAATTCTTGTCTCTGTGTGGTTAGTAGCTCCCTCCTCCACATTATCAAGATGATGGCTTTCGAAGGCAGGCTATTGGAGATCCTGTACATACCCCAATTCAATTTCCTTGTGAAAATCAAAGCGCTCACTCCGCTGAAGAGTTCAAAGAGGCTGAAGGGTCACTGCCTTCCCTGGGGTGCTCGTGCAGGCAGTACTCTGGAAGGGTAATGTAAATACTCAGTATGAGGCAACAGGGCATACCAATTTGTTTTTCAATCTATTTTATTTCAGTTCAAAGCATCATTGCAGACAGACTGTCCAAGAAAACAAGCCACACTTTGGTTATACTCAGTCTGCCTCAATCTCCAAAAACAGTTGAGTATTGCCAAAGTGCGGCTTGCTTTCTTGGGCTGTTGACTGCACTGATGCTTTGAACTGAAATAAAACAGATTGAAAAACAAATTGGTATGCCCTGGGTCTTCCTGTAGTTTCATATTATCCTTCAAAGCCAGTGTTACCACCTATTCTTTACTGGAACCCAACAAACCCAAATCACAGAGTAAAACTGCAATACTCAGATGTGAAGGTCCCACCCAAACCCAAAATAGCAATTTAATTCAGGGCTTGTTGTTTAACATTGCATTAACATGCCACTCTCTGTCCAGCTCCTTGCTCCATTTGCTGGGATGGATTGTATCTTCTGATGACATCTGCAATATGGTTACTGGATACAGTTTAAAGCAAAACTTGACACTGCTTTTCTTATTTAGTTCCCTCAATTTATTACTGCCTGTAATTTCTCATGCTCCTGAGCCCAAACATCATCCTATTTTCATTTATTCAAAAAACCCGCTACTGTATCAAAGCATTTAACACTGTATAGTTTTGAGGTTTTCTGAAACAGAGTTCAGGCTGGCCTCTAACTCCTGGCAACCCCCATGCCTCAACCTCCTGAGTGCTGTAAGCTCAGCTAAAACTGTGCTTTTTCTTGAATTCCTTGAAATTTTTTAGTGGAAATCCAAAATCATTTGCAGACAAATACTGAAAATAGCACTGACTAGAAAAACCCCAACATTTTCTTGGAACGCCATAAAACGTAGATATTGGAGCTGGGTGTACAGCTCAGAGCTGGAGCATTTTAGAGGGCCTGGGTTCAATCCTCAGCAAACCACACCCCCCCACCTCCCACTCCCACCCCCGCCAAAAGAAAGGAAGGAAAGGAGTGAGGGCGTGTAGGAGGAAGGAAGGAAAGGAGGAGAGGAAGGGATATAGGAAGGCAGGGAACAGATACCTTTGAGGGAGGAGCACAAATAGTTTCTAACAGTTCAGGGGCTGGCCTCAAATTCTTGGGGTTCCTCCTACCTCAGCCTCCTGGGTGCTAGGACTACAGGCACGTGCCACCACACCCAGCCTGGTTTCTAACTTTTAATTAAAGTGCTGAAAATGCTCTGTACAGACAGTTGTATAATTGGTTTAAAAAATTAAAACCCATCTGGAAAAGTTCTTCTCTAAACAAAATTAAGAAAAAATAATATATGTATCCCCTCCTCTCAAAGACAGGAAAACCACCCACCCTTTTTGCCTCCAATCTTGTCTGTAACACATTTCTGAATTTTTTGGTTATCTTTAGTACTTTCAATAAAGTCTCCAATTAGAGTCAAACTGGTTAATTCAAATGGAATTCAGCAATATGTGTAATAACAAAATGAAAACACAAACCTATTAACACATTTTCTCTTACTTAATGGGCAGATAACTCTTGGAGGAGGTCCCATTATCCGGATGGCACAGAGCAGACAGTTACCTAACTTGCTGGGCACCCAGCTCTACCGGTAGTGAGGCTGGCTCAGGACCAGACTAAGCACAGTAATGTTAAGCACAGCACTCAGTTCTCTGGCACCCCAAATTCCTGCCCACCTTACAAGGGTCTCTGAGCCTGCTCAAAAGTTCTTCCACCCAGCTTCCTCTTCCTTTCCTGCTGGACAGGCTCATTGTTTGGACACATTTTAATTTAAACTACCTTTCTCAAGAGAAGTCTTCGCTGACCACACAGGCAAAAAGGGGACTTCCAAGTTAGTCTCTTAAGTCAACACTGGTTTGTTTCCTTTATAGCAGCTGACAGTTTTGAATAACTTATTTCTGCACTGTCTTGACACTGAGTTTTAACACCCAGAACAGAGCCCTCGGGCCCTCATACTGACTTTGCTAATCACAGAACCTATCATAGTTGGGCATGGATGACCTAGCACACACCTATTATTCCAGCATGCTAGAAGCCTGAGGCAGGAGGATCACAAGTGTGAGCCCAACCTGGGCAATTTAGCGACTTAGTGAGACACTGCCTCAAAAAATAAAAAAGGGTTGGGGATATAACTACTAAGGCCCTGGGTTCAATTCCCAGTGCCACAGCACAAAAACAGAGCCTTCACTTTTTGGGATTTTTTTTGGGGGGGTGCCACTGGGGATTGAACTCAGGACCTTCTGCTTGCAAGGGAGGCAGCAGAACCACTGAGCTAAATCCCCAGCTCCAGAGCCTTCACTTTTAATGTCTACCTGGGACTGTCAGGTTTATCAGGTTGTGGACACAGGCTAACAGCTTAAAATATAAAAGGTAAGGTGTGATCCCTGCCTGAGATCCTCCCAAGCCAGTGCAGGATCAATACAGGATGGTGAGTGTGACTCCTTTAGTTTCAGCTCCCAACTCCCCTACAGCATGAGCTATGCAACCTTTGACATCTCTCCTCTGGGACCCTGTTTCTTTACCTGTAAATGTAAACAGTAACACTACCCATATCATCACGTTGGTGTGAGGGTCATGTGACAATTCATACAAATGACACACTGAGAGCCAGCACCCAGCACAAAGGAATCACATAAATATTAACTACTAAATGAATCTGAGGCTGGCAAAAAATAAAAAAATAAAAGGGTGTGGGAGGAAGGGCAAAAAGAACTGAAATGTGTTATGTACATACACCAATTCCCTACAATAAATGAAATTGTTTTGTGCTGCAAACATGGACTAATAAAAACTTAAAATAAATATTAACTACTTTTATTGTTACGATGCTGTGACAGCTGTGCTTGACGCTATCTTTCTATACCTGTATACCATCTGTCCAAGATCCTTGAGGAATTTAAATTCCTTGTACAACACTGTATTCCCAGGGACTTGAATTGTCCCTGGCACATAGTAGTTGCTCATAAGATGCTGAATGATTAATGAACACATTCACACAAGCAGAGTTTTTTCATCTATTTGTTAAATCAATGACGAAAAGTTAGGTTTGGGAGAAACTGCCATAGAAGGTGTTGAGGGGAACTGAAGTTTGATGATTTAAACCAAGTATGCTTATAACCCCAGCACTCCAGAGGCTGAGGGAGGAGGATAAGCTTCAATATTCTGGCCAGCTGGGGCTACACAGTGAGTTCAAAGCCAGCGTAGGCTACAGAGAGTTCAAGGCCAACCTGAACTACACAGACAGATCATCAAATAAACTAAGTAAATAAATACAAGCCAAGTGCAGAAAATTTCTACTTGGAAAACTATTTGAACCTAACTCATATCAAGGTTTGCTACACATCCAGACTTGAAAGAATAGTTGGAAGTAACACGTCCAATAACCAGGCAGGGGTTTCCCTGGGAAGGGCTCGCTTTGCCAGCCCTTGAACCTAGCACACCCTGAAATTGCTTAATTCCTCTCCTCACTTCTTCCTCTATTATAAAACGGAAACATCATACTTATTAAGCATGGTAGTAAAGCACAACAAAGCCAGGTATGAATATAAATAAAGCATCTGGCTTATTGTAGGCTCCGAATGGCTATTACTGCGATAGAAAGTAAGGGAAACAACTACTTTGAATAATCGGTAAAACCAGAGGAATAATGGAAGTGTTATTATCAGCAGAGAGCTATAGGTGCATGGCCCAGTGGTGTCAGAAGGGACTGGAAAAGTCGCTGGACAACAATGACACAATCTATTCGTGTCTAGGGCAGAGGTCGACGCATTTTTTTCTGTAAAGTGTCAGAGAGAAATATGCAACTATTCAACTCTGCCAAAGGAAAAGGAAAGCAGCCAGAGACAACAAATAAACTGAACATAGCCGCGTTCCAATAAAACTTCACTTACGGCCACTGAAGTTGGATTTCATTATCACCTACATTTCTCTTTTGTCCCCCCGTTAAAAAACGTAAACACTACTCTTAGCTCTGGGCAAACAAAAACTGGGAGATTGAGAAAAGAAGGAAAGAATTTTGCTGAGGTCTGCAGGTTGCAGATGGCCGGTGCGGGACACGGGGGAGGCGGAAGGAGACTGTGAGATCGAGAGGTTCCTGTCGGCCCCAGGCAGGTCCCCATCGGAGAGCAGACCCGAGGCCGGAACCCGGACCCCGTGACCTCTCCCTGCGCGAGACTACGCGATGCCTGGGCCTGGGGTGTCTGCCGACCCGGGGCCCCACGTCCCGTGGCGGAGGGAGGCGAACGTGACCGAGACCAGCTCCACAGAGCCGGCCACGCGGAAGGGTCTCTGTGAGCCCGTCACTTGGGGCGCCTCTCGGGTCTCAGCTGCAAAAGGGGTCTCCACGCTGAGTCCCAGCCCCGTTTCTATGGTTACCTGTTCAGCACCGATTCAAACTGCCGTTCTTTATTGACAGCGCCATAGAGGACACGAACACTCCTGCCCGAAGGGAACAATAAAGCTTTCGCCATTCAACAGCGCCGGAGACGCCAGCAGGCGGCCATCTTGAGGCCGGCGAGGAAGGGGCAGACGCCGACAGGGGCGGTGCCTCCCTGCCCGACGTCACGTCACGTGACGGGGCGGTCTCGCCAGAAGGCGGGGTCTGTGTCAAGCACTAGCTCTCCGCCAATGCTAGGCCTCCGGGGTGAGCGGGTGGCTGTCCTCAGGCCCTCTGACCGTGGCTATCTCGACCCCTGGCCATAGAGCCGTAGGGAAGTTCTACTGAAGTTTCACCGCCCCTTGCCGGGGTAGCTGGAGGGCTAAGATTTTGTTTCAAAGGATGACAGTGAAGTAGACAAAAGATTTATTTTTTCCAAAACATCACGTTCCCTTACTTGTAAGGCCCGTCCCAGTCGAGACCCCAGACACATTCTCGTTGGTGAAGAGGCTTGCACCGCTCGGACGTGATAGGTTAGCGGGCCGAGTGCCAACCAGTCATGGCGTGGCGAAGTTGTGATCCCGCCCCCTCTCCCCCCGCGGAGTTCCAGGGTTTGGGGCATTTGGTGGGAAAGTGTGTGTTGCTTTCTCTTGCACGTTTTTCTTCTCACATACTTCGTCACGCACTGTGCGTTTCTCGTTGAAGCCGATGCCACCCCTTGCCACCCTCACAGAATCAGATGTAAGTCAGTCCGAGGCAGTTTTAAATTAAATCCCATCGGCGTTGGCTCTGTGGACAAAATTACTGTTATCCCGTGCACCTTTTTTCTGTCCTTGGCTCGAGCTCCCTCTGTGGTTACAGCTGTTACATGGGTGTCAGTATTCAGTCCCGAGCGCTGTCACTGCACAATCACCGTTTTTAATCACAAATTCATTCTACCGGACGGAGCTGGCGTTCGCATCGTTGCTGTCGCCTGATCCATCCTATTTCCTGCCCTTGTCCAATATGCAGCTACTGCCTGTGACGATAAACTCGAAGCAGGCCTGTTCCATGTAGCTCTTCGTGTTCCACCGGGAGTTTGTTTTCACTTAGCTACTTTTCACTGCCACCTGTTCAACTCATTACTTACCAGGTCAGTCTCGGTACACTGTTGTCCTTCTTAGTCACTTTCACTATTATACTCACGGTCACACTCAGGATCAGCTTCACTGTAGCTGACGTTCAGTCATTTTTGTAGTCACTGGAGTTGTATCTATAGCTGCTGTGTCCTCTGAGCCATTTCCACGATAGCCAATTTCTTCTTAATTGGCGCCTCACAATACGGAATTGCCAGATTTAGCATATAAACACCTAGAATAGTGCTTGGCACGTAGTAAGAGCTCTGGAAATAGTTCATGGATTTTTACAAAACAGGATTACCACCGGGTGTGGTGATATTTGGGAGGCTGAGGCAAGAGGATCTCAAGTTTGGGCCCAGCCTGAGCAATTCAGTGACTTAGTGAGACCTTGTCTCAGAATAAAAAATAAAGAAGACTGGGAATGTAGCTCAGCGCAAGGGCTCTGGGTTCAATCCCCAGTACCAAGCAAGGGGATAAACCACAAAGAAAACTAGCACCATGTACTCAGATTTCCCTTGTCCGTGGCTACAAAAAATAGGACTTTTTTTTTTTCAGTGCGAGGGATCCAGCCTAGAGCCTCACATATGCTAGGCAAGTGCTCTGCTGCTGAGCTACATATCAGTCCCCAAGAATAGGGCTTCTAGGGCTTGGGATTTAGCTTAGTGGTTCCGCCACCTGCCTCGCAAGCACAAAGATCCAAGTTTGATCCCCAGTACCAAAAACAAACAAACAAAAGAATAGGACTTATAAAAGTGTGTTTTTTTTTATTTTAAAAGGAACACAGATATCCCTTATTTAACAACCTACCTCTTTAACAACTGTTCAGACTTAGGACTCATCTTTTTTGGTACAGTTCTATACATCTTGTTTATAGAGCTTGAACGTCTTCTTTTGTAAGTACACCTCGTAGTTTTATGTTCTGTTATACATGACAGTACTGCATGTAAGAGTTATGCAAGTAAAAGCAAAGTCATTAAATTGGAGTTTCCTTTGACCATTTCTTTGCTGTGAATATTGTAAATTCCTCATTTAGCAGCCAATTCATTAACGATATAGTCACAGGAACAGAAATTGACCATTAAACAGGGAATGTCTATACATGTTTATTGTAGCATATTTAGAAAATGTAGGGAGGAGTCATTCGTCCTGAGGATTTTCTCAGACCAAACAGAGAATGCCATACTTGTCCACATGAGGCTGTGAGTGGAAAGCACCACAGTGGATCTCAAATAATGGTTGGAGGTCAAAATTCAGGCATGCTAAAAATACTGTATATTACTACAGGGGGGAATAGTAACTCAGTGGTTACTATTCAATGGTTACTATACTCAGTGGTTGAGTATTTACCTAGCATGCAAGCCCCAAAACAAAAAAAATTTTAAAGAAAAGGGGCTAGGCATGGAGGTAAACTCCTATAACCCCAGAATTTCAGGAGGGCTAGGGATTTAGCTCAGTGCAAAGGCCCTGGGTTCATTCCCACTGTTGCGGAGGTGGAGAAAGTGAACAAACAGCATGATGTTTCTGCTCGGAGCCAGCTGACCATGGACTAAAACTGTGAACCAAAACAAACTTCTCCTATAAATTGCAGGCATTAGATGTTCCATCCCAGCAACAGGAAAGTGACTCATAGATTATCTCAGTGTGATTCTCAGTTACTTGGGGAGGTAGGTAACATTGTTACCCCAATTTATAGGAGAGGAAACAGACTTAGAGAAGGGAAATCATTTGTCCAAAGAAACCCAGCTGCTTGGCCAGGTGATGGGGTGCATACCTGTAATCCGAGCTACTTCAGAGGCTGAGGCAGAAATACTGCAAATTCAAGGTCAGCCTGGGACTGGGGATTTAGCTCAGTGGTTCTGCTGCCTGCCTCACAAACACTAGGACCTGAGTTCGATCCCCAGTTACACCCCCCAAGAAATTGGACAGTCAAGGTCAGCCTGGGCAATTCAGGGAGACGCTGTCTCTCAAAATAAGAAGGGGAAGAAAAGGAAAAAAGCCAGTTAGCATCTTAACAGTAGAGTTAGGGTATTCATCTGGGCTGTCTGACTCTAGAGCCTGCACTTTTTTTCAACCTAAACTATTAAACTGGCTTTTACAGAATAGATATGTTCATTGTAAGGAATTTGAGGATTATGGAAAAAATTCAAAGAAAAGAGTGAAAACCTGAGTCACTGTAAAGCCCACCCTCTGGCAGTAACCTGTCATTATAGGTGAGCATCGCTCCCTTTCCTGGCATAGTTACACAAGTAAGTGGATGGAGAGATACTAACAGTAATAATGACAGCTTCTATCCAACAAGCATTATCTGAGCCAACACACTTAATTTACTCGAAGAGAGGTGGATAGATGTAACTTTATTAAAATGAACTCGTTTAACACGTTCAGGGTTCACATCAGCAGCCAACATCAGCAGAAAAACTCGTGTTTTTCTCCAAATCTGGTTCCTTCCCTGGTTTTCGCTATCTTCTCTCCGCCTTCCAATCAAATCCTAAGCCCAAAGTCCTTGGGCTGCAAAAGCTGAGTATTTAAATAGTGTCCTCTGCCCAGCTGCTGCCGGTCAAATGTTTCTGCATCTCCCCAAGGCGGTGATGGTATTTGTGGAAGGGAAGTTCGCTGCAGGCTCGACATATGCTTTTTATTTGTTAGAGTAGGTGTCTGGGCCTTGGCGTTCTCCTTCCTGGCTGTCTAAGTGTTAGAATTCCACTCTCCTTTTCTCAGTCCAAATGAAGCCAGGCTTTCTGATCATGCCCAGCAGATACCAGAGAGTCTCAGAGGAGGATGCTGTTGGAATTTGCTGAATGCCTCAGAAAGGTCAGCCTCCTGCTCATCCATCCGGGATGATAAAAGAGAAGAAGGACACTGCCTCCGTCCAGTGGCCCGTAGCGCTTCTGAGGATCTGCACCTGCTGATAGCCTGTGAGTGAATCTCCTGCCTCAGTTGCCTCCCCACTCGCCGCCCCAGGCACCTGAGCACTCACATTTAGAATGCTGAAATCAGGCTGGTGATGGAGCTCAGTAGTAGATTGCTTGCCTAGCATATGCGGTGCTCTGGGTCCAGTGCCCAGCACTGCTGAAGGGAAAAAAAGAAAGCAATGAGCAGCCCCGATGACACAGATCATGGGTCCCGTCTGCCGTTCTCCACCTTTGGCTCAGGGCAGCACCTGGCAGTTGTCCCTTTTCTCTCTCTAGCCCTCAACCAGTCACCAAACTCGTTGATTTTATCTCTTGTGTCCGTGGGTAAGTCCAAATGACCGTTACCTCTTCACGACTGAAATGCCCTCCTCTGGCTCCTGCCCTCCTTTTGATATCCTTTTCTCTGGCCTAGAGACAGCAACTCGACACGGTCTTTTGTTGCTCTTTTATTTTGAGTCAGGGTCTCACTATGTAGCTCAGACTGGCTTTGAACTCACTACGTAGCCCAGGCTGGCCTCAAATTCTCAGTGATCCTCCTGCCTCAGCCTCCTAAGTGCCGCAATTACAAACATGTACCACCATACCTGGCTTTTATTTCCTGTAGAGTCACCTTTATTCAAGTATTATTTACATGTATTAAAAGGTGCTCACTTAAAGCAGAGTTTTGACAAGATACAGAACAGGGTTTCACCATATTGCTCAAGCTGGCCTCCACTTCACAGGCTCAAGCAATTCTCTTGCCTCAGCCTCCCAAGTAGCTTGAACTACGGGCATGCATTACTGCAATGGCCAGAGCATTTTTAAATGACTGTTTGTTAGAGAAGTTTGAAGTTCATAGCAATGTTAAGTGAAAGATACAAAGATTGTCCATTTATCCCCACTGACACCTCACACCACAATGGGACATTTCTTATTTCAACCTACATTTGAAAGATAACTCAGAGATTCTCAAGAAAAAAAAAAAAAAAAAAAAAAAAAAAGAAACAAAAAAAATCTTGATATTTGGGAATAGCACTTCAATGGGAACATGAAAGTTGTAGTGAAATACAGGCATATGAAAAGAGACTGAAATCAAGACAAAATTTTTAAAGACAAAAAGAAGGTGATTCCATCAGATTGTTTTGTTTTACAGTACTGGGGATTG